TTACGACCTTCGGACATGGCAAGTCAACAGGGAAGCCAGATTCACTTAACAACTGGGGCAAGGAAGGTCGTAGAATGGGGCTTAGAAAACCACTGAGCTGCTGCCACGGAGATTTGGGGCTCGATTGTGCTCCTAAGGAGAGGAATACATGCATGTTTTGTGTTGTGAAAGGGGATCACCTCACACGGACACGGACACCGCAAACCGTCATAAATACAAGCGTCCGAATTCAGCCACGTGACCAAGGTGGGCTAGAGTGGTCGTAATTTGGAAAGCTTTTGTCATACGTCACTTTCTAGGGTGCCGTTGTAACTTGGAGTGGTCAGTAAATGAACGGTTGTAAGCCAAGGATTACCTTGTATAATGTTTCAATTGATTCTTACTGCAGACCCCCAGATCTCAGAATAGAAGAGAAGAGAAATTGAGAGAGGAGAAATAGAGAGGGGAGAAGAGAAGATAAAATATGGAATGGAATAGAATAGAGGAATATAATAGAATTAGAGAGAAGAAAAATAGAGAGGAGAGAAGGGAAGGAAAGGGAAGGGAAAAGAGAAGAGAACAGCTTGACTCCCTCTTCTTAGGGGCAGCCCCTGAGATCTCAAGGGGAAGGATTTTTACCATGGCTTCCTTGTGCATGAATCTGTGGAGATCCGAGGTTAGGAGATAGGCGATGTCCTCTAGCATCTTGGTGTATTTGCTCAATACCACCGTGATCTGGAAAGGCAAGCGATGGAGAGGAAGGTCACGGGACAGAAGGGTTAGGAGGGACCTCAAACCCCCTCCTCAAGGAAACCTTATGGTATGCAGTTTCTAACCTGTTTTTCCCCACCCTGGTATTTTATTTTATTTTTTGCTAAAAGGCAGGACAGACGTGCGAAGTCGAAACGCTCATGACTCACCTGTTCTGCCCGGTCTACCTCACACTGGTGTAAAGCTTCATCCAGGTCTCGAATCCACTGCCTTCTTTGCTGGGTCTCTTGGAAAAGGTGGGCCCACGTTTTCTCAAAGTCCTGGAAAGAAGGGATGCACCGTAACACCGCAACGTTCACAAGATGTCAACTAAAAAGATACTCCTTTGGTCTTTTTAGTGGCCAGCAGAAAAGATGGGGACTCCCGCTAGTCACATGGCTGTTAAACGAAAATGGATTTTTACTTGCTGGAAGGTCAAATTTAATTTATTTGATCCTTTTTGTTACTTTTATTGTTTTTTTATTTTTATTTTTTGCTTTAAATATGGTTTTGCATTGTGTAAACCGCCTCGAGTCGTCATGGGCGAATAGGCGGCAATATAAATTAATTAAGTAAATAAATAAAATTTTCACAGAAAATGGAGAAAAGTGGCCTGGGATCAAACTCCACATTGGCTTGATTTGCTCCAAACGCGGGAAAAATTAAGCAGTAGCGACCAAGATTTTTTCAGGGGGGGGATAAGGAACCATCTGCTTACCTCTATAGTGTAGGAGATTAAAGTGATGTCGCTTTCAGAGATACGAAAAAAGGCTTCAAAAGCCTGATCCGATTCTTGTAACTGGATCAACAAAGATTTCCCATGCTTCGCATAGCATTCTTCAATTTTCTGAAAACAAAGGGGTTTTTCTTTTGTTTTTTTTCCTGACAGATGAAACAGAATCCAGCTTAGGTTCTGACATGATTACGTGTACAAATTCAAACTGAAATGCCTTTCGTTTAAGCTGAGACACGATTGAACCAGACTTCCATTTTTAATGGTGATTGTTAAGTGAATTTTGCAGTCATAAATCCAAACCCATTCATCTGAATGGGTTTGGGTTTGTTTTTTGCCCTTTAAACGATTGGTGGACTTACCTGTAAGAAGGACGAATAAAAAAATCCAGCTTGAGCTTAAAACGGCCTAGCCTCACCTTTCCGACACATGCTAGTTCCTGCTTGAACTGGGCCACAACTTCTTCGTAACGCAACTTTTTGTTCTTGTAGATACGCTCCACGATGTCGCTGGTTCTTTTATCTGAAACTGAGAGGATGGATTTCGGACAGAGATCAGGGCTAAACCCCGGTTTGTTTAGTTATTGGGTATTCAGAGGCTGGATTTGGGGAAAGGCTGTTTCCTGAATTTCTTAAGAGGCACAAAAATAGGAAAAAAGAGTCAGGCAGTTTGGTCCAGTGCTTAAGGCACCAGGCTAGAAACCAAGAGATGGTGAGTTCTACTCAAGCTTTAGGCACAAATGCCTTTGGGCCAACCACTAGGAGACTGGGAGTTCTAGTCTTGCTTTAGGTGTGCAAATCATCTGGATACCTTTGAGCCAGTCCCTCTCTCTTAGCCCAACCCACCTCCCTGGTTTGCTGTTATGGGGAAAATAGGAGGAGGAAAGAGCATTAGGTTCATTCATTGCCTGGAGTTATTTATAAAAATAATAAAAGGAATAATTTAATAATAAAAGAAATCTTTAAAAACCCGCAAGATTCTTCTTCCGTCATCCTAAATGGTGTTTTGCAACGATATAACTAAATTTTTTTTTTTAAATGAGCTTTCAGTTCAGCCCAAACGGCAACTTGACACAATTAAAAGTGTTAATATTTACCGATGACATCGGCAAGGCCTCTGACTTCCCGCGCAGCGATTACACTCTCGCTTTCTTTAGCCTTCGCACGTGCCTGAGTCACAGCCTCCCTGCAGCAGGAAAGGGAAAACTTTGCCCTCAAGTTCCGACCACCCCTGAGCCCAACATTCCTGTTGATAAGCGGGACATGTGTTGAGTCACTTTTGTCTCATTTTACGATCTTTTTTTTGGGGGGGGGGCAGTTAGTAAATTAATCACTTGCCGTTGTTAAGTTAGTCACATCTGGCTCTCCCCTTGTTGACTTGTCAAAAGGTCGCAAAAGGGGGCTCACGTGAGCCCGGGAACACTGCGACCGTCGTAAATACGAGCCAGTTGCAAAGAGTCCTAATTTTGATCACGTGACTGCAATGGTTGCAAATGTGAAAAACGGTCCTAAAGTCACTTTTTTTCAGTGCTGTTGCAACTTCAAACGGTCACTAAATGAACTATTGTATGTTGAGGGCTCTTTGTCCTTAACAGCTGCAGCGCTTTGCTTAATAACCATGGCAGAAAGTAAAATCGAACGTGACTCGCTTAAAAACCACTCTGCTTAGCAACAGAAACCCCGGCCTCCAAATTCTGCTCAAATTGACCTTCCTTACTTGTATTGCACTGGGTTTTCGGTGAGCTGATCGTTGGGCATTGCCTTGCTCCAGATCTCCTGGCGCTCGGACAAGAATCCATAGCTGGTCCTTCTTTCCAAATCCCTCACCAACGGGATCTTTCCTGGGAGGACTTTGTGCTGGGTGATCTTGTTCCTAGCCCGCCCCAGAGCATGCACCAGGTTGATCTTAGCGAAGCAAAACAGAAAGGAAAAAAAAAATAGAAGTGACTGTGATTATTATTAATATTAATATTATTACTACATTTATTTACTACCCATGTTGCCGCAGGGATACTCTAGGCAGCTCCCAACCATGAACCAAAACAAAGAAGTAAAAAGAAAATGTAAACAAAACAAGGAAAACACAATTTTCTGCAATTCCATCCAAACACGTTACACACACCTCGTCGTCGAAGATCTGCCTGTAGACCTTCCCGCTGGGCAGGACCCGGGCGACCCCCACCGTGCTGGTGATGGGAAGCCCGTGGGAACTCTTGCTGGATTTGCACATGGCGGGGCGCTTCCCGGGTTTAACTAAAGAAACCAACGGACGAAAGTCAGCGGCGGTTAGGAACGGGGGGAATGCAAATATTCTCTCTCTCCCTCCCCTCCGCCCGACATTCACAAGGCCACCTCCGACACGCGTCTGCGGTTTCCATGGTAACCCCGGGCGCGGTGGAGGGAGAGCGACCTAATTCTCGCGAGAACCCGCGGGAATCCCGAGCCGGCTTCCTGGTCCTCTGGCCGTTGCCTGGAGACGCCGGCGTTGCTAGGGGAGATGGGAAAGAGTGCGGGGATGATGCTCTTGGGCTCCCAGCTTACCTCCCCCCCCTTTTTTTCCTGGGGGAGAATCAATAACTGCAGGAATGAATAAATTTATTAAATTTATTGGCTCTCTCCATCTTTCCATGAGGTAGCCATTGTCTTTCCCCTCCCCATCCCTTGCATCCAACGAGTTTGGCATTGCTAGAAATATGCCAAAAAACCGATGCATTTCACCCAGTTTGCATCACGCACGATGGGGCTGAAAACAGATTATTCTTCAGACTAAGGTGGGAGTGGGCTGATTCCAAGCTTGCCAGAGCTCCTGCCTTTGATTTTTTTTGCTACCGAAGTAAAATCTGCCCAAAGCCCAATGCAAGAGACACACCTTTGTGCTCACTGACAAGCCATCACACATACAAATGTTTGGATTCAAAGATGCTTTACTTTGGCGTATCAACCTTGGATAGAGAAGTGTGCGTTTCAGTGAAGACTACTGAAAACAGGATAGAGTGAGCTAGGTTCAACTCAAGTGTGAACTGCAGCTACCCAAATAAGCCACTGCAATCCTAGGCTGCATTAACAGAAAGATAGAATCAAGATCACATGAATACCACTTTATAATGCCTTGATAAGAACATACATGGAATATTGCATCCAGTTTTGGTTGCCACAATGTAAAAAAATGTTGAGATTCTGGAAAAGAGTGCAGAGAAGGGCAATTAAATTATTGGGATGCTGGGAGGATAAAACATATGAAGAATGGTTGCAGGAATTGGGTATGTCTAGTATTGTGAAAAGGACTAGGGTTGATAAGATAGCAGTGTTCCAATATTTGAATGGCTGCCACAAAAAGAGGAGAGATTCAACCTAGAACTAAGGAGGAATTTCCCGACAGTCAGAACAATTAACCAGTGGAACAGCCTGCTTTCAGAAGTTGTGGACCATCACTGGAGGTTTTTAAGAAGAGATTGGATAGCCTTTTTGCCAGAATAGAAATAGCATAAGTCTCCTGCTTGAGCAAGGGGTTGGACTAGAAGATCTCCAAGATCCCTTCCAACTCTTGTTATTGTTATTTTTTTGTCCTGACGGATGAATACCCCGTATTTCCAAGAAACATAGCCAAAAGAATTATCCCCAAGCCAGTTCCTGACAAAATCTGCATCCTGTAATATGTTTAATATGCCAATTAAAATCTAGGAACTTACAAAATATTCATGTTCGTTTACTTTTTAACATATTGTACAAATCTTAGGTTGGTTTACAGTAAATCAGTTCCAAATACCAAATAATATACCAAACCAAGACAATAGGTTAAATCACCAAGCAAGCCAAGAATGCACACCAGGATAGATGTTCCTTTCCTTGCTTCAATTTATTTCCCAGATTAAGAGGATAAATATCATCCCACAATTCTACATAATGGGATTTTTAAGTCTCGCGCCCTAAAAGAGGAAAGGATAATTTGATAACAGCAGGAAAGAGGCAATCAATTCTGGTTGAGAAAGAAGTATCTGCCATCCTTGAGGTCCTCCTCAAACCCAGGGTTGACCCAAACAGACTTGGTTACATCATCTCCATGCCCTGTCAGCTTGAAGGAAAATCTTCATGGATTCCCTAACAACCACCACATTGTTCATTCAACCCAAACTGGGTTAAAACTCAAGTTTCATTTAGTGCCAGCTTTCTTGAGATCTTCAGGAAGGATGCGGCCTTTCTTCCGAGCTTTAGCCTTCTTCTTCTCAATTCTGGCCAGCTTCTTCTGCTGGATGTTCTTGCGACGTTTCTCTTGTCGCTGCTGCATTCTCTCTACCACTTGTTCAGTCCGCTTTTCCCACTTCCTCTGACGCTGGGCTTTGCGCTTCTCCTTGCGTTTCAGGGCGGCCTTCAGCTTCTCTTCATCATCGCGGATCTTCACACCTTCTGCTTTGTAAAGGACATTGGTCCACTGCATCTTTGCCTCCAACTCCTTAGCTTTCTCCTCATCTTTGGCCTTCAACTCTTCCAGCTTGGTTTTCCGAGATTCCAGACGGTCCAAGAGTTGTTTATAATTCTTGCCGGTCAGTGGTGTTATGTTGCCTTTAACGGATTTTCTTTTATCCTCCTTCTTCTTCACTTTGTTCGGCTCCTCTTCTGCGCCGACCTCCACGTTATTAAACAAGATGTCAGGCTTGCTCTCTGCCTGCTGGGTCTCTGAAACCACGGCGGACGAGGCCTCTTCTGCGGTTTCCTTCTCCAATTTCTCCTTCATTCTGAACTCTTTCCTCCGACGTTTCTTTCTCTCTCGTTCGTATTTCCTTCGCTGGCGCTTCTCCAGCACAGAAGGTGACAGATCTTGGGTACTAGCCTGCAAGAAACAGGAAACAATCCAAAACATCATTTTGACTTACTCTACACAAGTGGCCAACCTCGTTCCTAGTGCAATAACTCCAGAATTTCTACCCCAAAAGACCCAAATTTGGAAATTCTGAGAGCTGCCATGTGTCCAACATCCATCAATCCTAGAAATTCAACCATGTACTTATGTAATTAGCTAAATAGAAGTTTCTCATATTCTGGTTTCCACCATTGATTTTGCTTGTCGAAGTTAAGTCATTTGTTAAGTGAATTTTGTTCCGTTCTACATGACTTTTCTTTCCAGTTGTTAAGCGAACCCTGCCATTTTTAAGGGGATCACGTGACCCTGGGAGCTGCAATCATCATAAATACAAGTGTCTCGGTTTGATCACATGACCAAGGGAAAGTTGCAATGGTCGTAAGTGTGAAAAATGGTCATAAGTCACTTTTTCAGTGCCGTTGTAATTTTGAACAGTCATTAAACGAACTGTTGTTAAGTTGAGGACAACCTGTATTTTAAATACTCCCCACAAGGGTGTGAAAAGATAAGGAATGATTGCACTACCTGTCCAGAGGTCAATGGTTATACTCCCAGACAAGTGATATAAGCTAGAAGGTAAAATTGAGAATACTACTCATATTCCTCTGGACCTGGAAAGCTAACTTTTTAAAACTTGTGTCTCCATCCTACCTTCCCAGATATTTCTTCAATTTTGCTGTGTAGCCTCTGCCGCAAGAAATCCATTGCGAAATTCGTGTCAGGTGCCTTTTTACCCCCTGGGTAGATAAAAAACAACAACCAAGATTAAAAATTATGGCCCACCCATGCAACACACCACAAGCCCTTCTTATTTTCCTCACGACAATCCTGTAAGGTTGGTTGGCCTGAGAAAGAGAGGGACTGGCTCGAAGTCAGCCAGCTGGCTCTCATGCCGAAGGCGGAACTCGAAACTTGACGTCTTCTGGTGATTGGCACAGTCACCCAGGCAGGTTTTGTGCCAAAAGCGGACCAAAACTCACCATCTCCTAGTGTTTGGCACAATCGGTTTTCATGCCTAAGGCAGGTCTAGAACTCTCATTCTCCTGGTGATTGGGCCAAAGTCACCTAGCCAGCTTTCATGCCTAAGGCAAGACTAGAGTTCCCAGTCTCCTAGTTTATAGACCAGCACCTTCATCATTAAACCAGACTGGCTCACTTCCCCCTTCTATCACATTCTTACCTGTAACACCAGGTGTTACTGACGTGTCTTTCCCATTTCTTTCCTCTGCATTGGTACCAGGTGTGATTGAAGTAACTGACCCTGGCTTCTTAACATTGGAGCCTGCTGGTTTGGCTGGCGACACTTGGCTGAATTCGCTCCTAGAAGCCTCCATTTTATTTTTATTTTTCTGATTTCTTTCTTTCTTCTTCTTCTTCTTCCTGGGCTGAGCGCTCTCATCCCTCAGCTTGCTTCCAGACACTCCTTTGAAAACAGACCAATGGATTTATTATTCATTTAATTAATTAAACGATCAGAAAGAGATAGAAAAAAACCCCAGTGACTTGCATAGAAAGCTGCAATTTGAGCTTTAAAAGGTTTTTAATCTCTGAGACAAATAACCCCATGTCCTCTACCCTACCCTTCTAAAAATAACAACTTTATCGTTCTATCAGAATCTTCCTTCGAACGCCCAGAATCCCTCAACAGCAAGACGGGAGGCATATACATTTAATCCATAAATAATAAAATAAAAACTAAAATTAAATTAGTGGGGGAAACTCAGGGTGTGACTCTTCTGTGTTCCAGGATAAAACAAGGAGGTAAATTCATCAATCAGAAATCAGAAATCATACCAAACGTCCTTTTCAGCGGTTCACGGAGTTCCTGGGTGCAAATCTTCTTCGCCAGAGTTTGCAAGTAAAAATCTGTGGCAACTAGGCTGGCCATTTTAGAGCAAGATCAAAGCTGATTTTTTCTGGAGGAAAAACGCCTCTGAAATGATGAGGGTTTCACGTTGCCTTTCGGCCCTTCATCCGTTTTGCCACTGAGATGAAATCCTGTACAAAGAGACAACAACTGATGAACAATTGGGGGCGGGGGGGGGGGGGGTTTACTGTGAAGCCAGGGAGCTGGTCTTTGCATTTTTTAAAAAAATGCAAAGATTCCATTAATATTTTTAAAGACTTAATGTCAACTCAGATGAATGTCAATAGCTATCATTTGGTGTTTTATCTTGTTCTTTTTATCATGTTCTATGCTGCCTAGAATCATTTGATGGAAAGTAAGTAAGTAAAAGAGAGAGGAAGGAAGGAAAAAGGAAAAGAGGGAAGGAAGGAGGGAAGAAAGGAAGAAGGGAGGGTGGAAGGAAAGAGGGAGGGAGGGAAGGAAGGAGGAAAGGAAGGAGGAAGGAAGGAAAAGAGAGGAAGGAAGAAAAAAGGAAGGAAGGAAAGAGGAAGGGGAGGAAGGAAGGAAAGAAAGAGGGAGGGAAGGAAGAAGGAAAGGAAGAAGGAAGGAAAGAAAGAGGGGAGGAAGGAAGATGGAAAGGAGGGGAAAAGGAAGGAAGGAAGGGGAAGGAGGGCAAAGTTGATAGATAAGTTAGCAAGCCAAACCCCCAAATTTCCTGAGCAAGGAGGCTTCGGAGGCTGGGAAGAGAGATCCATCACCTGGTTGGGGGGGGAGATCCGCAGCGGGCTCAGGATCGAGGGCGCAAACGAGGCGCAAGAAGGGAAGCCCCGCGCGCAAAGCAGGGCGCACGCCACCAGCTCCGCCCCCCACGTGGCTGCAGTGGCTTGCCAATCGATCCACGCGATCCCTTCGCCATCCAGCTCGGGGCTCGATTCCCGCAGCCTGGGAAGGTTATGGGATGGCGGCGGGGGTGGGACCCAGGCAGGGGGACGGCCGAAGGGGCGGAGCGCTTTTTGCGCAAGTGGCTTTCTGCAGGATTGCGTGTCCTCTGCGCTTCCCCCGGGGTGGCGATTGTGCGCGTCTGCCCGGCTTTCTTTGCGATCCGGAGGTGCTCGGGCCAAGCGAGAGTCCTGAACCGTTTCCCCATCCTTGTGATATGGGGAGAATTTTTACTTAAAACAGCCCAGTCCTTTCAATAAACTCAAAAAGAGAAATAACAGCAGAGGAATAAACTCACATCTGGCTCAGGATCCAATTTTCCAATGCTACTTTAAAAAAAAAAAAAACTAAGCAAACTCCACAGCAGCTGGCATTTTAGTGCCACGCTTCACCTGTATTTTTTTGCGTTTTTTATGGCATCCTGTGAAGTTAAAACGATTTGCTTTGCACCAATGCACCAAGCTTTCGAAAGCTGTAGAACTGATCTGCACTCACACTAGAAACACCAGGACATAAACTAACCCGCCCAAATAAACTTATTTCTGCAGTTTGGATTTGTGACCCTCCTTTTAAACACCCGCCTTAACGTTTGCAGTTCAATACATAAATGATCCACCAAACCAAACACTTTTGCAGTGGCATCCTTTCAAACATCTGCCTTACTTTGGAGTGTCTTTAAAAGGAGTCTCTCCTGGTTTACATCTTTTTGTGTTGGAAAGAATTATCCACACCTTGGGCAAGACCAGATTCAGCTAACTTTATTTCAACAGCCTGGTACAATAAGGAAAAGAAAAAGAAAGAGAAAGAGAGAAAGAAAGAAGGAAAGAAAATGGAAAAGTTGTGGATCCCTTAACTATCCATGTCCGATACCTTAAATCCTGTCTGCTGGGTTTTCTGGGGCTGTAACTTTGCAGTATTTGGGGGCCTGGTGTTTTCTCCTTCTCGATGTCACAGAAAAATAGATCCCTCAACAACACAGAGGTCACTTTCCTAGTCTGAGCATTTCTTAAAAAAAAAATCTCTGTGATTTTTGTGATGTTAAATATCTTCTCAAAGCAAAAAAAAGAAAAAGTTTTCCAGAATATCAAAACGGCGTTGCAAACACAACAAGGAAACCGCTTCTATAGATAGTCCTTGACTTACGACAGAGCCCAACATTTCTGCTACTAAGGGAGACAGTCGTTAAAAGTAAACCTTGCCCCATCTTACGATCTTTCTCGCCACCATTGTGAAGTGAATTGCCGCAGTCATTAAGTGAGTTGCACAGTTGTGAATAGAATGTGGCTTCCCCATTGACAGCGCTTGTCAGGTGGTCGCAAAAGGGGATTGTGTGGCCCCGGGATACTACGAATGGTCATAAATATGAACCAGATGCCCAGCGGACGAATTCGGACCATGTGATCACGCCTGCAACGACTGACAAGGTGGAAAACGGTCCCAAGTCACATTTTTTTCAATGCTGTCGTAACTTCAGACACTAAATGAACTGCTTATAAGTCAAGGACTGAAAACACTAAGTAAACACCCATGAACGTAAGGCGTACAATCACGGTTGAGCCCGATATTTCGGTGGCTAAAAGTTTATTGTTGAAACGCCAACTGCACGGAGCGGGGCACTGGGTGTGTGTGTGGGGGGTGGAATCCGTTTTAGGGGTGCTCGGGGGCGCCCACTCCGTGCCCGTTGATGTGCGGGTGTGAAGACCCCGAGGCAGGTAGATTCTGCTCCATCGCGCTGGCAGCGGCAGCCAGGGAAGTGATGAGACTTTCCAGAGGCGAGCCCATCGGTTCCTGTCTCCAGTAGGCTTCGGAAAGAGAGAGGTTGCTGGCATCGCAGACGCCGTAGCTTGGCGGGACAAGAAGCCCATTAAGGCAGCAAGGAAAGAGAGACACAGAGAGAGAGAGAGAGACAGAGGGAGGCAGGAGGGGGAATAAAAGGAGGGGAGAAGAAAGCGAGAGAGAAGCAAATGCGTTACGAAAACAGCAATTATCTTTAAGAAGGTAATAGCAGCATATTGCGGGGGGGGCCCTTCAGAACCAGATTTAAGGCTGGGGCTCTTTATAAAATAAATAAATATTCAACCTACAGGTAGTCTTGGACCTACAACCATTCAGACCAGGATTTCTGTCGCTAAGCGAGACAGCTGTTAAGGGAACGCTGCCTCATTTTAAGACCTCCCTTGCCACCATGGTTGAAGGGAATCAATTAATAACGGAGTTGTGTTACTAGCTGAACGACAGTGGTGATTAACAGCTGTGCCAGCCAAGGTGGTAAAATGGGACAACCCTCACTTAACGACAGAAATGTTGGGCTCAATTTGGTCATAAGTCAAGGACCACCTGTATTTTGCAGGGGGTAATTCTCCCCAATCCTGCCCCATTTTCTTCCTTCGCTCCTCCAGAAGCCAACAGAAATTGCAAAAGTTCACAGACAAGTTGCCGAAAAGAGAGGCACAAGCTAAGTGTAAGAGACAGGAGGAGAAGGCAGGCCATTCTCAAACAAGCTGTGGGTTAAATATATATATATATATATATAAATAAGAAATAATAAAGAAATAAAACAAAAACCAGCCCAAAGTGGACATTTCTTTTTCCTACCACAGTTTTATTTATAATAAAGCTGCAGCAATCATTAGGGGATTTGCATATATTATTAAAGATATCCGAAAAAACTAAGAATGTCGCCAAACTCTTAAATAAGATTCCAACAAGGACAAAAAACCCGCACACCCATTTAAATCCCAAAACTGCAAGATTGTCGTGCAGCATTTCCCTTCTTAGAAGTTGCATGGGAATTGCAAACAAGGAAATCAGAGGGGCTTGATGTTTTGTGGGAGACAGCCAGAACCAACCGGGAAATATTAAAAGCACAGGTTTTTTAAAAAAATCAGTGTTTTAAAAAGTTTCAGAATGCCACCTCTGTCTCCAAGGTCAAAAGAAAAGAATAGAATAGAGGCCAATGTCCGGTTATCCCAAGATTTCTCCGTGGATTTATTTGTACCTGGAAGAGTAATACTCCTCTTCCAGTTCGTAGAGATCGACGGAGATTTCGTCCCGCAGCGCGATCAGTTTCTTGTCGCATTCCTCCTGCAGAGCACGCAATTGCTGATTGCGTTGGTTGATGGCTTCATTGACTGAAGGGAAGTCATTAAGGATTAAGAATTGCTTGAGGTCAGATACCAGCCTCATAAGGGACTCGCCAGCTCGGACCTGATGGAAAAATCCACATACAATGGCACTCAAAGGCTTTGAAACTCATCAAATTTGGTACTCAACGCATTTTGATGCCAATTTTTTTTCTTGTCTTGGTACTCATCATTTGTTTGTTTCAATGCACAACCTAGAATTGTCAGTGTTGGCTGCCTTATGTCTCACTACATTATTCCTTATGGGAAAAATTCGGTACGCATCGTTTTTGGTATCGCACCTCCCGGAATCAATTAATGATGAGTAGCAAGGTACCTCTGTATTTGAAAACATGGCCAAATTTTATCCGTTCTTAGCAACTTAGGTCATGGATTATTTCTTGCCCGCTCTCTGGTGGGACAGAATTAAAACCCTGTTTGTGAGGGTGGATGGCAATGCCAACATTTCTCAATGGTCAATTTAATTAAACCAATTTGTTGTATATGCGTAAATAATGTTAAATTAATGAAAGGCAGGTTCGCAACTCAGCTCCGAGCAGAATCATCTGCAGAATTTCTCAGCTGTAATCCACTCACAATATTTGCCGCTCTGACGTGCATCTCATAGTTATCTTGTTCGCTTTGAGTCGCGCGGGATACTTGGGTTTCCTCTTCAATCTGGAAAAGGAAACAAAAATCCAACCATCTGCGTGTTATTTGAAAAGCTATGAAGCATTTCCCCCCGTGCTCTAACAAAAACCTATTTCTCTCTTTCTTTGCATTGTGTAGCATTGCTGTCTTACTGGAATAATCTGAAAATGTTCAAAGCAATATGCAATATAGCAAAGAAGCTGTGAACGCTTTAAAGGAGCAAAAAATTAGGCTGAAGAAGAAAGAGAAGAGAGGTCTCTTCTTACATATTTACCTTGGCAGACTTGATGATTTCTGTGAAGTTGTCCATGATGGATTTGACATCATCTTTCAGCCGCTTGTTGTAGGACTGGAGTAGAGTTTCTTTACTTTGGGGTAGGACTCGTTGCTGCGACATGGCTAGGTAAGGAATGGACCAAAAAAACGGCATCACAAATGACAAATCCAGAGAAAAATGCATTAAAAAACTCAAATCTAAAACCATTTTTTTTAAAAAAATGAAATATTGCTCATAGAAGTTGCATTTCATTTTTCAGGGTTAAAATTTGCACCTTGTGTGAATGTTATTCCCGAGCCACCCATTCGCCTGCAGGCACATCAATATTAAAAAGAAAATTAAGAGGTCCTAAATAGTCCAAAAATGGATGGATTTTTTCCCCCTGATATACATATACATACGTACATATAAATATGAAGCAAATAATCAAGATTGAAGAGCCAAGAATTAAATGTCAGAAACTAAATATATTCCATACCTATTTAACCAACAGAGGGGGGGCAGATCTGGGAGCAAGGCTGCATTCATACAACAAATGAAGCACAAACTAATATTTTAATCTATTGCATCGAGCTATTCCTCATAAAGGAGAGAGCGCATTGTGAGAATAAGGCTACTGAGCCATGCTCCACACATTTAAATGACCAGAGACAGAGCATTGCAAAAGTGGTTTGAGACAGCAATGCAAATGAAAAATTCACTTTCTTACCTTATCCACATCCACACTTTTTACTTCCACTCTTTAATCAAGCATTTCTAATCCGAAAAGGGAGGGTTTTTTTTGTTTTTTTCAGGATTGGCTGAATCCTGAAAGCTGATTGGTTGTTTTGGGGAGGGAGACACTCTTCCGGTTGTATTCAGCGGCGCCGGCAGTGGTTGAACAACCCCCATCGAGGACTCTCTA